ACATTTTAACTGTTGTACATCATTCAATATTAAATATTATATACTTATAAACGGTGACTTTTCCTTAAGGTTTTGGACAAGAAAAGCCGGTTTATCTGACAAAATCATAGTATAAATTTATAAAAAATATTTACTATACTTTACATGTTTATAAATGTAAAAAATGAACTATTTTAAAAAATCCATTGATATCATAACTATAAATAAAAAAATACTCTACTTATTTATTTTCACTTATTTTTCTGTAATATTTATTTAAATATAAAGGCACACTAATCGGGACAGGCACACTAATAGGGACAGTTACCCTATTTCTATGTATATGCGTGTGTATGATTGATGTTTAAATTTTTACATATCTAATTAACCTAATATTTAACATTGACAATTTCTGTTGTCAGCTTAAATAAAAAGAGGAGATTATTGCATGTTTACGTGACGACGAGTCAACCGACAGAGTCACGTGGACTCACCTTTGAACGAATTTCGAACTAGAGTCATGCTCATATTCGCGCGAGCCGGTGCCTCAAGGGTTATATCCGGCGGCTCCTTTTCCTCCTCTTTCTCTTTCTTCTCCTCCTCCACCACCTCCAGCTTAGGCTTGACGTCGCGGCCAGATTCCCTTCTCTGCGGCGGAGATCGTCGTCAGCTTGACTGTCGTCTCACGACGAGTTCGTTGTCCATCGATGTTCTAAGGCACAGTGGCGCATCATCAACGTCGCGACTTCTTTCTTTTCTAGTGTTCACCTCGGATGATCCTTTGTTCTCGCGATTACCTTGTCGCAACGCGCGCATGCGGAGTCATACTCTTCTCATCACTCAATCATGTATTCCGCCCTTCGCTCTCTCGCGTTGCAACTTATCCTCCTACAAACGGTTCGGTAGATCGAGACAAGCCTCGTTTATTTCATCGCGACATAGGCTATGGGAATGTCGATAGAACGAATGACGTTCGGATCGTACGACTCCGACGAACAGTCGTTCGGCCGCAAGAAAGGAATGACGCACCAGACGACAACTTGGAATCTTGCGCGATCAGAATCCGAAATAGCAAATTATTAAAAAAGTACGTGTGTTAAAGAAAACAGAGATATCTATGCAGTAAAAAAAAAAAAAAAAAAAAAAAAAACCAAAAATAAACGATATTGTCTCCGATGCAGAGCACTCTGTATGACAGATATCCCCCTACATGGAGAAGAAACAAGAGAGAAGAAACGTGCGTTGTACAAACAATTCTCTATCGGGCCACGTCGGTCGTCTCTTGCGGCCAACTGATCGCTTCCACCAGATCGCTTCCAGTGTCGCTGAGATCACGTTTGTCCCGCGATTAGCGGACAGTCGACACAGACGACAGAGATACGAAGCGTGCGATCGAGAGAAAAAGTAACTTTTCGACAGAACGGAAAATTTTTCAACAAAAAAACATTGACAGGTTTATTCATTTTTTCTGTTTTTTAATTTTCCGCTCGTTCTTGCATAGCTAGATCTTGTTTGCAGTCGATACAATGTGAACAACGCGAAGTGCGACGTGAAAAATGATAATAGACAGGAGAAAAATAGAGTTAATAATCTCGACAGATCATTCTCGGAATATTTCAAGTAAATTTCGCGAAAAAGATCCAGTAGTTTCGAGACACTAATGCTGCACACACGTTTTAAAACAAATGATATTTTTTTCGGCGTTGCTTCCTGTATTCTCGAGTGTTTGTAATGTTTAGCCCACCGTGATGACCGTTGTGATGTCGAGAAGTGGACGGTTGATATGCAACGACTACGGCGGCTTGATAATCATTGCACTTGCACACGCATATTTTCTCGAGAACGCGTGGAAACGTCGAAAAGATGAAAAGAGACAATTAAGGAGGAGGATCGGTGGGCGAAAAGAAGAAAGAAAAAGGAGAGGTAACTTTTATATTCACTGGAGTATCGCGCAACACAAGAATGCACAATTCCTTTTTCTTACTCTTCTTCTTCTTGTCGTTGTATCGCTTCTTCTTTCTTCTCCTCCTCCATTTCTAACTTTTTTTATACACTTCTTTTTCCCCTAGCCATCTACCACTCTTTCATCACCTTTACCTTCTGATTCAGAATTCCCGTCTTCCCAACGCGCATCACAGATGTGTAAAAGGAAAAGAAACAAAAGTAAAATATAAACACACTCCCGACTTACCGATCCCGATACAAGAAAATTGCAACGACGGTGGCTGACAGCACGTACGAAAAAAAACAGAGAAAAGAGAGGCAAAGGGAAAAAGACACGACGAATGATACGTGACGGTCAGCGAGAAAGGAACGAGAGACGGGAAAAGCGAAAGAGGATGAGACAAAATGGTATGTCAAGGCATGGCAGAGAGACAAGAGCGGGCAACAAGGCAGAAACGGTACGATGCGTTACTAGCAACCTCGCGCCGAGTAGAGAAGCTAGGAAGCACCGGTAAAACACGAATCTCTAACACACACACATCACGTACACACACACACACACACACACACATACGGAACAGATCGGGAACTCGCTCTGGAAGTTTACTATAGGATGAGACGGATGGTGATGGCGGCCGTGTAGCCGCGCAGCCACCGCCCCCATGCTTCTTCTCTCATTTTCTCCTACCTACCGTCTCCGTCAAGCGCACGCGTCGCCGCCACCACCGCATGTTCACCGTCTACCCGCCCTCGCCGTTTCGCCTCCATACCTTCCCTCCCTCCGACATTTAGATCGGGCTTTTCCCTCCGCCGACATGGCGATGGACACGCTGGAATCCCCCTTTGCTCTTCTTCTCTCTTCCTCTTTTCTCTCTCTTTTCCCCCTCCTCCGTCATCCTCTTTTCCTCCCACACTCTCCCAATCCTCGTGGCTACCGGCCGATAAAATCTTTCCCCTACGTCCTCCGCGCATACGGTGTACCGTCGCTGTTGCTCCCCTCGCTGCCCTGACTCCACATATTCCCCCTCGGCCGTTACCAACGCGCAGCTCCTGCACCTACCCCCGCCTTTCCTGGGGCCGCGAGATGTTATCCTCGAGCGATTCGTGCATGTGCTATATATCCGTCTGTCCGCCGTGCCGTGCCGTCGCCACATCCCCTACCTGCGTCGCTTTCTGTGCGTCAACGTCGGCGTGTGCGTCGGCCGCAATCAAGGCATCAAGAACGTAGCAACCGCTCGCGTGTGCCCCTTCGACGCGTGCGTTACTGTTTGGATCCTTAAAATATTTGATTGTTTTTGAAAATGTCTGATTCATACACTGTAAAATAAGATCATGCATATTAAGATGATTTATTTACATACAAGTTTGGTAATTATTCCGTTTATCTATACCATTATTGATCCAAAATTTATATTCATTCGACGTGGTTTTGCAAAGAACAAAACAATCTAACAAAACAAATAGTATACGTACCCCGATAGCCAAATGATAGCAGTATGCCAGCAGTATGCACGCAGGTTTAATCAGCACTTTGCAGCAGATTCCACTCAGCTGTGTCATCATAGTGAGTGAATTATGTAGGCACGATACGTAAAGAAAACAACACAGCAAAAATATAGAAATAAATGAAGAATGAAATGACAATAGCACGTTATGCTTCAAATCTGCTACATTTTTTGAGCAAGTTCTGCTTGATTGATGCAATAATATTTGCATCACGGCATGACATATTTATATTCTTTTTTTTTTCTGTTTTTCTGCGACACTAGTTGAAATAACAGATTATGGTTGAATGCTGGCTACATTGTACTGGCATAATGTGTTATTGCAAACTTTGCAAAATATGATCACTCAGTCTTGGTTATCTGGGTATATGTATATTGCGGTTTTTCTGCACAGGTTTTGATAAAATAATAAATAAAATTGATTTTGAAAAGAAAACATTAAACATAAAGAAAACATATTAAACATATTAAAATAAAGAATATTTTACTGAAATAATAATAATAATAATAATAATGTATATATACTGCTTATACTTTTGTAATGTTTTATTATTTCTAAAGATATTGATATCAATGAAATGTTGATCTCTCGTAATAATCGCGCTCGAAGCAATGATAATTCCGAGAAAAAATAGATTTACGTACTCTATATAGTAGCTGGTTCACAAATATATATATATATATATATATATATATATATACATCAATAAACGGCTTTTTATTGCAACACGGAAACCATAATGTATCTTTGACTTTACGCAAACTTTATTGTCTTGTTTTCTCTATCTGACAAGTGAAAGAATATGTTATATAGTAGAGATGAACAAGTATGATGGAAGACTTGCTTCTACTTTAAAATGTAGCGTCTTTCTCTCGAGGGTCCGCCCCGTAGAAAGAAAATGGTGCCCCGTATCTTAGAAGTTAAGGAACTTCAGTGTACGTTCTTATATTATCGCGCTGCAAGAACAGAACAAAGGTTGCTTTATCTCTTACCAAAGAGATTTTATCAAACAAGTTCTGTTCAATATTCAGAATTTTCTGTTTTCTAACATTTCCAGTACTTTGTCATATACTATTTACAAATATGGATTAAAGATATATAGATATTACATTCTTTTACGAAATAAAACGATTGTTATATTATACAAAATGTATCCCACAAAATGCAAAAAATCAATTGTTATTAAATAAGCGCGATGTCACGTACAACAAAATTAAATGCGAAACGAGTTACTTGGGTACACGGTAAAAAAGGAGAACTAGCAGAAGTAGCGCGATAATGTTTGCGCTTGTGTAGTTATCGTAGCGTTTAACTCCCTTGACTTTTCACCGCTGAAGTACGCGATACATGTGTCATGAAACGCACGAGGGGGGAAGAGAGAAAAAATTATAAGACAGAAAAAGAAAGAGAATTTATTTAATCTATATGTCATGTAACTTACAACGTGCACAAACGTTTTACAAACTTTTTCACTTATCTTTTCCAACAACATAATCACAGTCGGAACTATGCTTTATTAAAGTTTTCTGTTTACAAAATGAACGATAATGTATGCGATTATAAATTACGTTTACATGTAATCCGTAAATTATACTTTTCAATGCACCTTCTTTCAGTGTTGATGACAAGAATTACGTTTCATACTAAAAGCATCGTCTTGTTTTTATCTCGCACAATATCAAATATTTCCCGTGAGAGAAAAATATATTCACAAGATAAGACTGCACTTAGTACACTCTATGTATGTCTAGGTCTATCTCTTTCTTATTATTTATCCATGTTCGTACAGCCGATTCTGATTGTAGTCGATCGCAGTCGACAAAAATTGCGAGAAAGTTTTTAAAACGCGTTTACATTCTCTGATTTTTGTTGATCAACTACTTTTGTTGATTAACAATTGAAAGCAAATTGAACAGTATGTAAATAATTATTTTATCTAGGTAAAATAATATAAACATTTATAAACATTTTACCTAACTAAAATAGTGTTCAATTAGCTTTTAATTATTAATCATCTAATAGTTGGTCAATAAAATGCAACAAAAATCCAAACATATAAACGCATCTGAATTCAGTCACGGGAACTTCCAAATTCAACGGTCGTAATCAGTATGATGATTTGGTTTCTCCTCCTCGACGTCTCTCATCATTATCTCGAGCAGGCCTTTTTACTCGTTTTGCTTTCACTCCTCATCGTTTCGTCGGAGGCAGCTAGAGACCAGCGACTTGGTCTGTTCGCTACTATTATTAGTGTGCAGCTGCCTGCGAATTACTGAATGAAAACGAAAGACTACCTCAGAACAATGTCTGAGAGAAAGAAACGGACTTCTCGCGCGCGCGGATCCGTGCGATATCGTTTAAACAACAGTCGTCGATGGGCAATGATTGTAATCGGAGCTGAATTGCCGTCGCACACACAACAGACAGCTACAAATTAATCGGTCCTCGCTGCGCAACTTCTTCATTCTTTCTTGATGAGATTTTTTTTTAACACAATATTTTACATTTGAGATTTTTCTCGAATGTAAAATTTAATTACTTAATGTTTAAGCGCGTCATAACAATTTGATTTATATTCTGTATGTACGTATAAGATGACCTGATCTTCCGGGTCGCCGATTTCGGGGCACTTAACTTTTAACAAGCAAAAACGAAACATTAAAATTAAAACAAAGAGAAAAGCCCCAACTACTACCTTTGCTATGCGTATTTTATTATTGCGCGTATAGATACAAAAAGTTTATATAAAAAAAAGATTAAAAATCAAAACTGTCTCAATAAAATCGATACGGATAGTTATCTTATGCATACATATGTATTTTTGATATTCTAATAGTTTTGTTTTATAAGAGTTTACAAAAAATATTGCAAGTCAATTTATTTCGACGATTGATCTCGAATCAATGAACGACTTGAAGTCACTGTCAAATTTTTTTAAAGAACTAATCTTTTACTCCTATTTATTTATCCACATGCTACTTAATACAGTTCAAAGTTCAAAGACGTCGTCACAACTGACCGCCTCTAAAACTAAAAAAGAATACACGTATGTCCGTGTAATCATGATTTATACAATTCTTATAATTTACATATCTTTTCTATTTTTGTTATGTTTATTGCTTTTATATTCTCCTACTGTGTATCTCTTCCATACACGCAATTACGCAATTATGTTTTACGCGCGTGATCGATCCGTACTTGTTTTAGGGCATTGATTCGAAGCAAGATGGTCTGCGAAACATCAAGACGCATCGTCGATGCTGATAGGCACGACAAGCCTAGCCAACGATCAAACAAAAATGTATGACACTTCATCTTGCGTGTATTTTTTTGTGTCGCAATGTTAAGCGAGAAGCGTCGAGCAAGCGGCGATATACACAGAATAACGCGCAAAGCCAAGCCAAGAGCGAACCACTTTATATTCGGCTAGTACTGACAATTAGAGCCAATAGCATCTCTTCTTCTCGTGCTCCCTCTCTCTCTCTATCTCTATCTCTATCTCTCTCTTTCTCTCTTTCTCTCTCTCTCTCTCCATCCCTCCCTCCCTCCCTCCTTCCATTTCCCTCCCTGCCTCTTTTCTTTTCTCTTTCAGACTCATCTTTAATCACGCTGTTCTCGAGGTGTTGAATTTCTTGGTACGATGTTACGATCTTCCCTTTCCGTTAACGACGTCTGTCATCGTTGAGGCGCGTCTTGATGAATAACATCGGTCGACTGGACGCGCGATTTAAGCGCGATGTGATCGATAACGCTGCCCAGAAAAGCAAATTGCAGAAGTTTTTTTTCTCGCTCGACGTATTATAATATATGAAAAGAAATGATATATTATAGTAAAAAAATGATTCTCACAATAATTATAGAAAAAAACTTGATTTATGAATTGGTGACACTTGGCATACATAACAAAGTGAGAAGTGAAAATATTGTAACTGTTAACTGAAACAACAAATTAAATTAAATTTTTACAAAGTTTTGACTGCGAATGTTAAAAATCAACTAATTTTTCTAAAAATGTTAAAAGAGGACGATTGCAAAATAAATCAAATAAATAAAAAAACCGAGGAAAGCATGCAAAAAATAAATTTTATTCGATAAAAGAAAACGCTACTGATTGTAGCGTCACGATTATCACGCTCAGCCTTCCCGCCTCACGTTCACTCAAAATCCTTGCATGTGATACAGCACTGCTTGATCTCTGACACGTTGCGGTCCAGACGAAAAGCGGAGATCTCCGAACGGGCTCGAAGCGAACCGAACTTTGCCGGCTTATGGAAGGGATAGAAGGTGCGGTGATGGAGTGGAGGTTTTCCCTTTTCGGATATGTGGAGGGGGTTCTCTTTTCCCCTCTGCTTGATATCAGAGTGGTCACACTGTGTCTCTTTTTGTTGCCGCCCATTAGGCGCCACCGCAGTATGATTCGCAACTGTGTTTCTTTATCTTTGCTATAGTTGAAGCACTGAAGCGGTATATAGAACTACGAACGATCGTAACGCGTGTACTTCTTTCTGTTTCTTGTCGCTCTTCCTCAGTCCCTCTTATATCATGTATTATTGTACATTTCTGATTGGGAAGAGGCTCTGTCTTTTTAATCTCTTGTTTTGTTGGTTTTAGATTTTTTTTAAGATACAATAGTCACGTAATTCGTAGGTCCGACACACCAATACTATGTTTTCAGACACACACGCACTTATCTCTACCGATCCACCCACTCATACACTTATATACATACACACACATATACATATACAAAATAAATCGCTTGTAATATAATTCTCCGTTTCTTTAAAACTTAAATATATTTAAATAATATATGTAGAAAGGGCCGATACGGAGTNAAATACTAGGTGTTGATGTATAAATGATAATCTTTATTTAAAAATGCCAAACGTTTCGACTCTTGGTTTGAGTCATCTTCAGTGGCATACAAAAATCTACATAAATAAATTAATATAAAAATTACAAAAAACCGAAGAAACAGTGCAAAAAAGAAG